TAGGCAGTAGGCTTCTGTATCCTATCTTGGGGTGAGTGACTTACTAGAGTTAATAGAATAGTGTAGATTATTCGTATTGAGAGTGGGAAATTGTTGTTACAAGTGGATGCTTCATTGTTTGAGGCAGTGTCCTGTTGGGGCAACGATTTACTACTAGGTGAGGGTGGGAGTAGAATGTGATGTATGTGAAGATGAAAGGGGTCTTTGAATTCATTGGTCGAGCTAGGTCAAGAGTGGGGGGGGGGGGGGGGGGTGGAGTTGTAAGGAGATAATTCATGGGTTAAAAACAAATAAAATCTTTGAAAAAGGGGGAATGTATGAATATCAATGACGCAGTCACGTATTACGTGGGAGTTGTAAGAAGATAATTCAGGGGGTTAACAACAAAAACAAGCTTTAAAATGTGGAATATATGAATAACAAGGATGCAGTTGTGTTATAGATTATATTTTCTCCCAGTAAACACTAAAGGGTGTTGGTCTACATTTAACAATGTTACTGATATGACACGTTAAAAACACTCTTATTGACAAAATGAAAGAGATAAAAAATGATATAGTAGAGAGCTTTGTTAAAGTTGTAACATTTTAGAAGTGTTGTAATCTAGTCTTTCTTTATCTAAAGACGCATATAAAATTTCTGAATTCTCTAACAAGAATGCCATCTCCTTCATTGCTACATGTATTTTTAAAAAAAATGTTTAAACATTTCACACTTTTCCATTTGCTAAAGTGGTGGGATATTTGTTATTCTATTTTTATGCTCTATTTATTAAGTAAAGAAAACAAGCTAAGAAGTCTAAATTCTAAAAACAATAAAAGTTTTATTTTATTTAGACCATTTTTTCCCCCGCTCATTGTTGATAAATTAGACAGGATTTTCAATTTTTTTTTACATTTTTTTAATTTTTTTTCTTCAGATAGATGCTGATTTTTCTTGAGGAAACATTTTTAATGGCGCGATTCGTCTTGAAAATAAACCGGGAGTGATCTCCCCTAAACTTTCTCGAATATTCTTATATAAAATAACAGGGGATGGGAACTCGGGCTATAGACATGATTTTTAATCCATTTTAAATACTTAAAGTTTTAAAAATAGAATAAAATCTCGTAGACAAATTAATTGCACACCAAGTGAACGCGAAATAAAAAAGCGCATAATAGTGCGCAATATTATTATTACTTTTAAAATTTACATTAGTTTTTTGAGAAATCGGAAGTAGCGTAAAGTACTACTTCCAGTCAACGGAAATGACTCAAAATTTAATAGAAGGTAGAGAATTAGATCTTTTACTTACGTATGAAATTTCATTTATCTATCTGAAATAGTACTCAAGTTATAGGCTTTTGAAAAATTCAAAGTAGGAAAAGTACCACTTCCCGTTATCGGAAATCGCTCAAAAGTTGATACGGATCTACGATTTTGATTAAATACTTATATATGAAATTTCATCAACCTAGCTGTAACGGTACTCAAGTTATCGTGTTTACACACGGACACACACACACACACACACACACACACACACACAGACACACAGACATACGGACAAGATTGCAAAATTATGTTTTTCCGTATCAGTGAGATGCAAAACGTCGAGATTTGCAAAAATCTCGATTTTTTTTTTTTTGCACGATTACAAGACTTTCTCTATACTTCGTATATACGAGAAAGTAAAAATATTTGTCGAAATTGATTTAACGTCGGACAAATTGGGACGACAACACGTCATGCTCTCACATCCAATCAAACAAGTGTTCTAAAACACAAGTGTTCTCAAAGTGTAGGGCCGCGGGCCGTTGCCGGTCTACTAGTCGGTTAAATTTAAAATCCATTATTAAAGCTCATGATTTATAAAAAAAAGTCTAGAGTTCGAAACCATTGGCAGTTGAGGCTAAATAGTTGAGTACAGAATACAACTAAAAAATCAAACGATATATACATTGGAAGTTAATTCGTAAAGAAAAGCAGGCTGAAGTCGGAGTCACCGGCCTAAATGGACATAACATATTAACAAGTAATACTTAATTATGTAGGAGGAAATCCCTTTCAAAATTCTAATTACGAATTATAAGAAAGGAAGAACAGAGTAAAACCCCAAAGTGTTCTTATATATATATATATATATATATATATATATATATATATATATATATATATATATATATATATATATTGTGAAGTACAGAGAGGTAGAAATAAGTTGGGGCTCAATATATTTCTCCCTAGTTGTATTCACAGTTAACACATTCTGTTCCCATTAGCGTTAAACACTTATCAAGGCCAGCGTTAAATAAACGTGTGAGACTCCCTGTAACTTCAACAAAATGGCCGCCTGTCATACACGACACATCGAAACTGTTGGCTGCGACAGATGTAGGTTTAGAAGGAGCTGTGTGATCAGCATTTATATGACAGTGGAGATGCTAATGATGAATATGAAAACCCTGAAAAATAGCAACTTCAAACGATGACAAATATTTTATTTGATGGATGTTAATGTAAATATAAACAGGTAGATACAAAATTAGAAAATAAAGCGAATTTGAAGAATCTTTATAATGATAGGTTTTTAAATGCACTCAAAATACGAACATTGAAAAAAACTTGTTTTCTTTGATTAAAATATCGGGCGGTAGTCGGAGCTGACTTCCGCAAACTCGAAACTTTTGGTTCGGCAGTCGTGGTTGGTATGTGTGACAAGCAAACATTTTCTACACACTTCTGTCATTTAGCTTTCTTTTTACAATAATTTTATCATCGGATTTTCAAGAAAGCTAATGAAATACAAAACGAGGTCATTTAGTAAAAAAGAAAAGCTACAAGTAGGCCTAGTTCTTAAGAACAGGGAGTAAAGTTCGCTTGCTTTTTCTTTGAAATCAATCTAACAGTGACTGATTTAGTATCAGCCCCCCCCCACCCACACCTCTCACTATATCGCAACCTCTATCAAACTTCTGCCTCTTTGATTTTCTATAGCTTTCTTTATTTTCCCTTGAAAGTGGAGGATCAAGAAGGCTCTATTTTGGTAGTGCTAATTGGTTTGTAATGTTTGCTCTCCCCACTTACTATACGGCAGGTGAGAAGCTGGGATCCAATTTAAAGTGGAGGGTTCGGATTCCGTTTGGCTAGAGCTACATTCTAGAATCTACCTGTGAATACGTTTGTCGTTGAAATAATACTTTGTGGCAATATTGCTATTTCAGACTTATAACATTTCGTCCTTATCTACATCGTTATTCTTCTATGCATGTTAAAGTTCCCTTTCAAACCTTACGGTCTATAGGGCAAGTAAAGTAGACTTCACTTGTTTCTGTGACCTCGGCATATGAAGAGATCGTGTAGTCAGCACTATGCATGTTAAGTTTATTAAAATAATGTGCTTCATTAGCACTATAAAATTCCAGCTAATTTATGTATCAACTATAGCTGTTTTGGTGAAAACGCCTGATTGCAAGTTTCTCTTGCTCAACGCTGCCTCCCTCCCCCCTAACCCGCCTCCATCATACACAATTTCACACAGGGTCACAAAATATAAAAAAAACTGGCTACCCCCCCCCCCACCCTTAAGCACCTTTACCGAACCTCCCACACCCGCTAACGAAAAACACGTGTATAGAATATATATATATATATATATATATATATATATATATATATATATATATATATATATATATATATAATTATAAATCAACTAGTGTCCGACTCCACCCCCCCCCACCCTCCACCGGAAATTTAAATTTAAGCACAATTTAAGCACGTTTTCCCTGAATGTTTCAAGCACCCAACCCCCCCCCCCCTAATCTCCCGTGGGGTAAAGCAGAGGCGTAGCGACCCTTCCCGGCGCCCGGAGTCAATCTTTCGATTTGCACCCCTCTCCTCGAACTTTCGATCCCCCCCCCTTCAAACTTTCGATGTGCACCCCCTCGAAATTTCGATTTGCACACCCCCCCTCAAACTTTCAATTTGTTTTTCAAACCCATTTTGGCGCTCCCCCCCTAAGGTCGGCGCCCGGGGACATATGTTCCCCCCCCCTCGCTACGCCTCTGGGGTAAACTATTTGAAAGAAACAATGTTGTTTTGGCACCCGTATTTTTTTTTCACGACGGCACTTATAATTCTGTACTTTCTTTTCTTATTCCACGTTCCATCACCTCACCGTATTTCTGCTTCATTAGATAAAAAATTGGATTCCATTCAATTCTTTTAATGCAACAAACATCTCACTCTAGTCATTTCCAGACGATTCAATGTCATGCCTACATTAACACTTCAGCTAATTGGACGATGGTGCATTATGTCTGTCTAGACCGGCTCACACGGGTAAGCGAATTAGCAGGGACATACGTTATTACAGCAGCTAATGATCCGAGAGTTGACATGGAGGCTGATAAAATCCGTCAAACTGTAAATACTCGACAATCTCTTTTGTGGAATGCATTTGTTTATATTAAACTTAGGAAGAAAATAGGTTAATACGTGTGTTATTTATACAGTTTACAGTAGTACATAATTCATTATGTGGAATAGCTTCTATTATTATGTATGTTAGTTTCACTGTTTTTCAAGTTCATACATTTTAATGAACACCTCTGTTCACTTTAAAAAAATACCCCTTTAATCGTCAGGGTCTATTCGGTAAAGTATTTTAAATGAAATATATTTTATAGATCTGATAGTTACTGTATATGGTCCTAGGTGGTCAAATCCCCTATGATCAAACCCCCTATGGTCAAAGCACCTGTGGTCAAAGGTCCGTGCACCCTGTATATCATATATATTTCTTTTATTTTTTATTTTTTTTTTTGCTGTGCAGTAATTCTTTTGATACAAAAGCTATTGGTGTGTGTGAACTTTATTATCTAACGCCATTATTATAGCAATAATGAAGTTTATTCGTTCTGTCAAAATCTAGCAGTTTTCGTTAGATAACATAAAATGAACAATTACAGAAAATAAATTTATAAACAAAACAATTAAAAACAATGTTATCACACTTCATTTTTGAAATTTTAATTTCCAAACAGATTTTAAAATTTGTATTTCACAAACATGACCTGAAACATTTGTTTTAATTTTATTTTTCCATTAAGAAGTCTTTTTGAATTTAAATGAACAAAAAGGAAAATACAGCTCTGTTTTGAATACGTGTTTGAACCCTATCATATTTGGCAGTGTTTGTGTTCATGGTTTTTTATTTCAGGCTGAGATTCTCACGGCATTTCTGTGTGAACTCCTCGTAACAATAGGGCTTGTAAGTCAACGGTCTCGAAATCCACTAGCTGGCAAGTACGAGGATGAGAAGTTGTGACCTACTTACAAGCCCTATTCCACGCCTCCGGTTTAATTCAAGTTGAGATTCTCCCGGCATTTCTGTGTGAATTCCTCGTAGCACACACAACAGTGTTCCACGCCGCCTCCGTAAAGCGCCCCACACTCTTTGCAGACGTTGTTGTAGCGGTTGTACAGAACATGGACGGGGAGGGCGTCGGTGTCGCAGGTGGGGCAGGGCTGTTCCGGTGCTTTGGGGAAGACGTGCAGGGCGTGGCAGACGGACAGAAGGGCGAGCAGGGCCAGGCAGGTCATGGGCTTGTGTGACGTCATGTTCGGTGGTTGACCTGTGGGGGGGATGGAAACATAACAAGTTGTAATTTTAAAACAACGAATAGAAGTCACAACATTTTAACACATTTCACGGGTATGAACTCGATTGTGAAATGCTCAAACCCTTGCATTAAAAAAAAGTCACAGATTTAATTTGTTTTTGTTGAGTTTTTGTGTAAACAAACAAATCCCGAATTATAATCTTTGAACAGTGCCATCCATTTTACTCGGTTCGTTTAACAAAACCCAAACCAGTTTTAATTTTAGCATAGAATTGGCAGTGGATAGGCCTTGAAAATGTCTGCAGGCGTATATGTTTACTTTAGATTACTCATAGCGTTTTTAAGTGCTAAAATAAACATAGTAGATACCAATTACAGATGTGCACAAGTAATACAACAGCAAATCTAAAGTTAAACTTTAGTAATGTGGTTAAGTTCACATCCAGGGAAAGGTAACACTTCTCTTTCCAGTAGTTTACCTCCCCCTCGCTGAAAATCCCCCAATCCTTACAAATATATGCATATTAATATTATTAAATTGAAAAAATATAAAATATGAGCAGCATACACAAACAATATGACAACAGTATTTATGAACTTTTTTAAATATTAAATCCAAGTATAAAAATAGTATATGACATGAGGCTAGAGTTCTTTAAAATACTGGCTGGGAAGACGTGACGAAGTATAATGTCGTAGACATTAACAATCATTATTATACTAAGTAAATCTTGAGTAGAACCAGTGGCGTCACATAACGGGGATATTGGGTGCGGGCTGCACCGGGGCGACACCCGACCGGGTGACGCCACTGCCACGCTTGCAAATTTTAACACACTGCAAGAATTCCAAGCCTTATTTTGCATTTTTGCATTTCAAATTGTCCAAGTTCTGTGTCACCTCCCCCCCCTCCCACTAACCCCCACTCCCACTCCATCCTTTTTCATCTGTTTCCGTCTTGCCGTGATGCCATTATGCACCCCCCTGCACCCCAAGTGAAGTGGCCAGGATTTATAGCTGAGCCTAACAGGCTCATTGCACGCAGGTTTGGAAGTTTAATCTGTGTGCATTTGGTTGTTGTTTTAATTGAGAGGCAAGTCAAAGAATTGAAATTAATCGAATTTTTTTTGTAGTAAAGTACATTTGCTTAGGGTTCATCAATAAATGACCTCACGCTTTTTAAATGATTATTACCTCGCCTCTCTCTCCGTCACACATTGTCACAAAAAGCCAACCCCCCCCCCTAAAGAGACGTCACACCTCAGCCTACAACCAACCTTAAAATTGCAGTTGAATTTTTTTTTTAAAACATCGATATTTTTTTCCAAAATCTTGTCTGAACCCTGTCAAAATAGAGTATTTTCATCATTTACTATTACAATTTATTGAACAGTTTTCTAAAAATAACGTCTAAAAACCGTATTCTAACATTGTGTTTTTATAAGGCAAAAAAGTGACGTCACACCATCTGAACCCCCCCCCCCCCCCGTCCCTCTCATCACACACCGTCAAAAAATTAAGGACCCCCCTCCCCCCTACGAGTGTGACGTCATTTATGGACGACCCCTTAACTGTTATACTAATACATTATTTTCATGTGGTACAATCTTTCTCTGACAGGAAATTCACCAAAATATACAATGAGTATTGTTATAAGAACTGAATATTTTTAATTGCATTGTGTTTTTATAGCATAAGAAAGGCAGTGGAATATCGTGGGGGGGGGGCGTGGTCGGATAAGAGAGAGAATGTTATCAAATTCCAAAAGTCCTGGGTTCGGACTCCAGGGCAGATAAGACACGTGTCAATTTGTTATGCACCTTACAGGCCCCTGACTCCGATTTCCGTCTGCTTTTCTTTCTGGGTTTGATACCACAGCCTATGTCTACCCAAGAACGATAAATATGGCATAAGTTGTTTGAATTCGGAGTTGTCTCTTCTAGATGGGTTGCTGCCCCCAGCAAATGATCATCACTAGCCTGTTCAACTTTTTTTCAGTAGCGTTGTGTCGAAATTGTACTTTCATGTTGTAATATGCTCATGTTTTTTAAATCTATTTCTACGTAAACATATCTAACAACAGCACCATATGTGCATAATGTTTTTGTTTTTCGTAGAAAACTTCTGTATGTTCTTCCGCTGTTTTAAATAAATTAATTGTAATTGTTAAAACAATATACAATTATTTTTTTTTCTTGCGATGTTCTACATATCCGGCGGTCGAAAGAAATCATTAATTAAGCCCAGCCATTTTATTCACTGATTTTAATTACGACACTCCTTCATTAAACTTTTACAACCCTTCACGCTACGTGCCCCAAGTAAAACAGTGTGACAACAATATATTTCTCTCAGCTCGCCTACAAACTGAATTATTTCCCTTGAACGTATGGCGAATTTTTTATTTTTTTTCTGCAGCCAGGCGTTAAAATCTAATTAGGTCCCCGGGGGACGGGGTGGCTTTAGGAACCAGCTGACACAGGACAACCAATGAGAATGTCCCAGGTAAATGTCCCTAAAAGAATTCCCGATAACGCTTTTATATTCCCAGCGCGTGAAATTTATGTCTGTTGATTCTGATTGGTTAAACCGGATTTTAGAATCTTCAATTAAAAAGAATTAGTTTCAATTTCAATTTTTTTTTTTGCCGCGATTTTCAAACTATTGAGTGTTGAGGTTTAATGTAAAATGGGATATAACTCTCCCAGCAAATGCAGGGTCAAAGGAGTTAAAGCATTTAATTTATTTATTTTTCTTTCTTTCTGTGTTTCGACGTATTTTCCCCTTTAAATTGTTGATAATTTTGATAACAGATTTCGGAATTTCTCGATCTCGTTTAAAAAAACATAGTTTATTTTTTTAATATATTTTACAATAGTGTATTCCGTTACCCAGGAGACAACTTGCTGGCGTAAATACAAACGGCCAAACGAGAATGTTAACCTCGCTTTGGTGCAATTTATTCAAGTTCGAACAAGTGAAAATCCGGAAATCTAGATCGAAAGGCCTTCTGCATTGACAAAACTTTACAATTATACTCTCACCCTATGTTGATCACCATATATATATATATATATATATATATATATATATATATATATATATATATATATATATATATGGTGATCAACACAAGTGTGTGTGTAATAGGTGTGTGTGTGTGTTCGTGTCTGCGTGCGAGGTTAGATCAAATAGTGCACTAAAAAATTTAAACAAAAACTAATTATCAGTTCTAGATCTAGACCTCACGAACGCTAAACCTAATTTTCCACCAACGCCAAGGTGCGTGCCGCGACACTTTCATTGTAATCAACCTGTTGTTGTGGCACCAGGCTGTTGAAGGGAACTCCTGTCTTCACACCTCACCAATCTATAACGGTGTCTAATTCAATGAAAGACTTTACACTAAACACCAAGGTGAGAACACAAATGTGTGGGGTAAATTACGAAAGTCAGCAAACAAAACAGAAAGTAAAATGCTAAAAGAAATACAAAACCACACTGTCAACACAAATTTTTCTGTAAATTTTCCAGGAAACAAAATTTTCAAAAGACAAACAATATCCAAATTGTTATTTTAGTTTTTTAGATTGTTTCAAGATTTTTTTAAAAAGTGTTTAGTTTTAAATCATTCTGTTTATTTATAAAACAACTAAATTTACAACACTGTCCACTAACAAAACCTTTCTTTTTACCCCATACACGACAAAAGTTTTGTTCAAACCACACATACAAACATCTATATGATACAGAGCGTAGCGAGGGGGGGGGGGGGTACATATGTCCCCGGGTGCCGACCTTAGGGGGCGCCAAAATGGGTTGGAAAAACAAATTAAAATATCATTTTAGGTGCAAGTTGAAAGTTTGAAGGGGGGGAGGGGGGGGGGTGCAAATCGAAAGTTTGTCCCCGAGCTCCCGGGAAGGATCGCTACGCCTCTGGTATGATATATGTCTTATATAAAGTTTAACGATAACACTTGTGTCTACTTGATAACCGGTAATGTACTTAAGACATTATGAAACACATTAAAAACTATTGTTAGAAGTCTACATTAAATTATTATAAACTTACATTTGTTTATCTTTATTTATTATAAACGTAGGTCAAAAATAGAAATTGTTTTCTAAGATAGGTATTTGTTTTAATAAAAACAAAAAACACAGTTATAAAAAAATAATATGGGGAAATAATTTTAAAGTACAGAAAAAGAATATATTTTTTAAAAGTTTATAATATTTTTTTTTTCTATATCTTTACATATTTTCGTGTAATGAAATTTACAAGGAATGGACTCTACCGCTGATGCTGACCAATAGCTCCTAACACAATTGATAAGCCTATGTGTTTGGCCTTTCATGCGCTGTCATGTCGACTTTATGTCGCTGATACACACACAGGGGAGGAAGTTCATAAAGAACACGGGCGATATTTCATGCTTTGTCTACTGGATATTTTGTCCTGTCTGCTGGATATTTTGTCCTGTCTGCTGGATATTTTGTCCTGTCTACTGGATATTTTGTCCTGTCTGCTGGATATTTTGTCCTGTCTATTGGATATTTTGTCCTGTCTACTGGATATTTTGTCCTGTCTGCTGGATATTTTGTCCTGTCTATTGGATATTTTGTCCTGTCTGCTGGATATTTTGTCCTGTCTACTGGATATTTTGTCCTGTCTATTGGATATTTTGTCCTGTCTATTGGATATTTTGTCCTGTCTACTGGATATTTTGTCCTGTCTGCTGGATATTTTGTCCTGTCTGCTGGATATTTTGTCCTGTCTACTGGATATTTTGTCCTGTCTACTGGATATTTTGTCCTGTCTACTGGATATTTTGTCCTGTCTACTGGATATTTTGTCCTGTCTACTGGATATTTTGTCCTGTCTACTGGATATTTTGTCCTGTCTACTGGATATTTTGTCCTGTATACTGGATATTTTGTCCTGTCTACTGGATATTTTGTCCTGTCTGCTGGATATTTTGTCCTGTCTGCTGGATATTTTGTCCTGTCTA